CTTCTGTCACCAATCCCTCCTGACACTCATCTCCACCCGCTCCACCCTGCCTGTGCTCTCTTCTTCACCTCTCTTGTGCAAATTGACCCCAAGTATTTAAACTCATCCACATTCACTCCTTGAATGTTTCCATCTGTCTCCCTCTCTTTCACACACGTATTCCATTTTTCTTTGCTTCCCTGATTATATTTACTTCACCTGAATCATGAAATTGCAGGAGCCCCAGATACCTTATGATTTGTATTTATTTGTTTATTGATTTCGTAGCAACAACCATAAATATCAGCTCTAGAGGCTGTAGTGTACAGAGGACCCTCCTGCATGTGTGAAGTCTTACACACGGTCTGAAAAATCTAAATGTCAACAATAACAAGATGAAGAAAAACAAAGCAAACAAACACAGACACGTGTGTAGTCGTATCATTTGGTTGTGTAACTAATAAACACCAATATTTGTTTTTACTGATAAAACAAAAAGGCGACAGGTGTGTGAGGCTCAGCTGTCCATCAGAGAGGAGAGCTGCAGCTCCTGGCAGAGATCCTCCTGAACATCCTCCTGAACATCCGTGTGTGTCTCCTCTCCTCTCCGCATATCCCTGAACACACGCACACACACACACACACACACACACACACAATAAGTTTGTGTTTTTGAACGTGAATCATTGGGTTGGAGAGTTGGGCGGAGGTGGGTGTGGGTACATGCGCAGCTGCTCCGCGGCGGCTTTAACTTGGCTTCTTATCTCGTCACGGAGCTGCTGCTGGTCTCGCTCCCGATGTTTTCTCAGTTCGTGCAATTTCATCTTTAACTCCTCCTGCGTCTTCTCAATCTCTGCTATGTCCTGAACACATTTTTAACAACCGCGTCAGTTTGTGTCTGAACCCTCGCTGCTTCTGTTGTCACCACTCTGATTTCCATATTACTGTTGTTCTTTACTAGAAGAGCTTTGTGTGACTCACAGTCCAAACAGTCCTTGTTTATCTTAGTTTATCTGCCTAAAACAAGCTGTTATCGCCTTTATCTTCCGTTAAAGCAGCACGCCGGGTCACATGTTCAGTTTGGCACATTTTTACCCCAGATTCTGGATCCTGTTCCATCGATGGACAGTATGTACTTACAAATGTAACTAAAAGAAAACACTGATGTACATCAAATGCCTGATTTAGTCTGAGATGAGATGTTGTCCAGGGTTTTATTACAGGAAAGAATTCTGGCACCCATCGAGAAGGTTTTACCGTCCACCAAAGGACAACAACCTGGACGGATTATAACAAGTTTCTGTAAAGTGTATTTACCTGAATTTACTTATCAAACATCCAAAAATAAAAATGACTTCTATTAAGCCAGACAACAGAACTATCGAT